TGCTGAATTAATATTATATTTTTATGTTCAAAATTCGCCAACAGTGCCATCATTTGAGAACAGAACTTTAATGACGATAAAACTACTTAAATTATTATTATTTATTTATTGAAATTTTCATCCAGCAGCGGTAAACCTGCCACTTACATCTTTAATAGCCTTATATCATCTTCAACAGTTGTCAAACTGTTCTCTATAATACTCATCTGCATTTACAATTGTGTAAAATTCAAAAAAAGTATCCGAACATTATCGCAGGGTATTAGGTTCAGATTCCGATAGGAAAAGCACGGTTATCTCTAAAGCAAATCGTATCATCTTTAGGCTATCAGGTATTTCTTCATACAATGGTTATGGTAGGATAATTTTGTAGAGCGTCTACAATAAAACAAGGCGCTGATAGTATTCAGACCATGAATCATATTAAGATAGATCAAATTAAAAAAATAGATAAATAGTAAGATAAAAGAAACAAGCCGTCCAAGTAATGAAGTGAGTCGGCGACCAAAAAATTTAATATTATGGTGTGTGTGTGTGTGTGTGTGTGTGTGTGTGTGTGTGTGTGTGTGTGTGTGTGTGTGTATGTTTCTTTATGTCGATTGGCCTTGGTACGGACATGCGCAGACCAAACTACGAATTGGCTTATTGCGTACTGAGATCCATTAAAAAAATTCCTAATGGGACAATTTAAGGGCATATACAACTTGATCTAATATTTCAGTTAATTGAGAATTTAAATGGAAATCAGGTCAATTTGAAATTCCAAACGTATTTATAATAGAGTACTGTAATAAAGGAGTTAATTGTTATACTTTTAAAAGTTTGTTTCACTAATTCTTTTCTCTAAGTACAATTTACTATTTTTAAGAGTGGGTAATTTCAATCAAGAAAAGTGAACTCTGAAAGTTTTTTTTTACATTTTTTTATTTGTGAAAGTTCAGTACAAAACCTGTGGTGGAAAGATAGCCACACAGTCGTCTGACTTGTGGCTAATAATTAGCCTCCGATTAAATAAGCTTAAGCTAAAGACAGGCATCAAATAAGAAAGAAAAAGAAAAACGTGAACAAGACAGCAATGGGATTAGCGTTCAATTAAATTTTGTTTAAAACTGGATATAGATTTCGAGTCTACCACTGATTGTGGGAGTCTATTGCGAAGTAAAATAACGGCCGGATAAAATGATGATTTAAAAGACAGAGTACGTCCCAATGAAACAACCAAGTATGAATATCATAACAAGAATCAAATAATTGGCATGCATATTCAAAAAGAGGACGGATAAGTGTAATGTATAACTTTTTTAATGCAAGAATCGCAGAAAGTGTAGAACTGCTTGTAGATAAAAGCTAATTTATTTGCCTGTTGTTTTATAATGTTACGTATATGGTTTTTTCAAGTCAGATCGTGTTGAATATGAATGTCCAAAATATTTGAAACTATATAGGCCTACATTAAATAAGTTTTCAGTTTAATTATTTGTATTTTATTTAGTAGATATTTAGCCTTATGTTTAACGTTAGATTCTGATCGTTTACCCATACTAATTAGATGGATGTCATTCTGAATATTGTCAGTCGTAGAGGATGATATGAAGAATATCAGCAAACAGGGTTAATTTAGAATGAGGTGAGAAACAAGAGCGGGCCCTGATCGAGATTTGTGGCACTCCAGATACCATAGGTGTCCGTTCAAAATGACATCCATCCAATACTGTAGTACATGCTGAAATATATTTTTAAAGTAAGAAATAAATCATTTAAATGTACTGGATTAATTTCAAGATGATAAAAATGATTTAACATAGATTGAAAAGGGACGGAATCTAAAGCAGTAGAGACAGTAGACCGGCACTTCCTAAACCCATATTGAGCATTACTGAATCCACCCAGTCCCAATGAAAGTAAAATGTACAATACATTTATTTAAACTTAAAAAAGTATACTGACATAATCCGCTATAATTATGGTCACTAATAAACCATAATAAGATCTTTTAAATATCAAACTTAACAAATGACACAAGTATACTGTATATGAAAACCTTATATCAAAATTCGAAAGAAAAAATGTAATATTGATTCAATTTAAATACTATACATTTATAACTTTTTTTTTCAAAACTTATTATTATTTATTATATTTAAGAAGAGCAATATACAATTTTAAAAAAATAAATCTGATGCTTACGTATGATAAATATTGTAAAATCTCCCCTGGTACTTAGGCTATTATTTTAACAAATAATAGGCCTACATACATACATTCCATTTCGAAATATATGTTTAAGCCACTTGTAAACACTGAGGTAGTCTTTAGGGTACTAAATTGAGAGATTGCACTTCACTCATTATAGTAATAGCTATCACAAAACAATTCTATATGAATATTAGTGGCGATTGACGAACGGGAACTGAACACAATGATTATTGGCAATTTATGAAGTAATCACATGTTTTATCTTTCTCTTTCGCCTCATTTGTTTCTGAATAATGATGCCATCAGTTGTAGAGTTCGACAACCTATCTTATCCTAGACTTAGATATGACTAATTATCTATTGTATAAATTCAAGGTACACGTATATATTAAGAAAAACTAATGTATAAAATTTCTTGACATTTTGAATCAGAAGCCGAATAGGACACTCTATACAATCAATTTGAAACTATCTCAACACACCAGTACTCAGAACTGTTAATGTGGTGTACTACAAATTAAATAATCATTTATATAGGTATTTTCACACACAGAGCATCTATAATTAAACAATTAATAATAATATTCTTTTTATTCATTTATTTAAACACCCACGAGTGTTAAAAAGCACCAAAAACCTTGATATAGTAAAATTTAGTATCAAACTATAGTATTAAGCTTAAATTTTAAATTTTAAAATTGAAATAACATTGAAAATAGCACACATACATAAATAAAATCACTAATAATTCTTTTAAAAACCGAAATGATGCAATTAAATATATCAACATTAGGACAATTTTCATTGTCATTATTATCATCCTCATTTGAGATTTAGATATCATTTATTGTCATAAGGCTAGCCATATGATACGCATTTTCAAACTTCTTTATCATCACAATCGCCGCTGTCGTCGTTGTTATTCGGCCTATTATTATCATCTTCCCAATAATAACCTTAATGCTCACCAATATTCTAATAAAAAAAGGCTACAACATGACAAAACTACACAAAATTATACAATGCTTCTAAACAAATTTAAAAGTACGTGTTACACCAGAAGTATTACTCGTTATAATAGGCTGATAGTTTGACATTTGAAGAACGGGTATTCACTGCCATCATTCATCACTTTCAATCGTATCGTAAGCACAACACCACGTGGTTTAAGCATATGATCAACATTCCCATATCACAGGTTGTCTCCTCGCTTTAAAATTTAAATAGTTAAGAATAAATGGCAATCCCAACGATTTTAAAATGAACAAAAAAAATATCAATATCAATAACAATAACAAAATCTGATCAACACTGTACATGATCTTTACAAATACTTATTAGTAGTACATAGGTTCCCGGTATTCAACCCTGGCCCGTGGACCAACTACGGGCCGCCACAGATTTTGATCCCCCTGGAAAATATTCGTTTAATTTTACACCTATTAATGCATATATCATCAAAAATTAGCTAAAAAATTTACCTGAAATATAATATTGATGTTCTTGAATTTGATAGTGAACTATTAAGTTTAGCAGCTCCGTTTATTTCAAAATCTTTATCTTATATTGTTAATCTTTCACTCATGTCCGGTTATGTTCAAGATGACTGGAAAATTGCTAGAACACCACCAGTCTACAACGGGAAAGGCACAAAGACAGTATGAATAATTATAGACCTATATCCGTAATTGGTCATATCGCCAAAATTGTTTAAAAAAAGTAGTTCAGGAACAATTAATATATTATCTTAATTATCATGATTTAATCAATGTTAATCAGTTTGGTTTCCTAAAAAAAAAACATTCTACTGTAACATGCTTACATAGAATTATAGATCATTGGTTGGAAGGTTTTATCGATTTTGACGTAATTGGCGCATGTTTTCTCGATATTTCAAAGCGTTTTGATACAATTAACCACTCAATACTTCTTTAAAAGATACGGTAGCCATGATAACTTTGTAAACTGGTTTGCAAGTTACCTTAGAAATAGTAAACAGTTTGTATGTTGCAATAACAGTAAATCTAAAATGAAAGAAATTAATATTGGTGTAGGGTGTACCCCAAGGAAGCGTCTAGGGACCGATCTTTTTTTTTTTTTAATGTATAAATGATATTTTACAATCTGTGGTAAATGGAATACTTGTAGTATTTTTGCTGATGATGTTGTAGTGTACGCAGCTGTAAATACTACTGAAATTGTCAATAATTCCTTGAAAATCTTGTGGATAAAGTTAGTTAATGATATGAAAATAATTATTTTTCAATAAATGCCTACAAAACTAAAGTTATGTTACTTAGAAATAACTCTAAACAATGTATTGGATATAAAAATTGGAAATTCAAAATTAGAAAAAGTAAAAAGCATAAAATATCTGGTATTAAAAATTGATAAAATGTTGACGTGGAAAGAGAATACTCAGTTAATTTTAAAACGTTGGATATAAAATTACAATGCTTGGTAAAATGGCTGGTACTGTAGTTTAAACAAATCACTATTAGTAATTCTGTATAAAAGTACCTTTCAGCTATCTAGTGACTACGCCATAACGGTTTGTGGAAACAGCTCAGAACAAAATAAGAATACTTTTAAAAGGCATCAAAAGAGAGCAGCTAGAATTTTCAGTGGAACTTTGATTTTATTAATGTCAGAGGTAATGATATTATTAAAACATTGTCATGACAAACATTGGAAGGGATAAGAGACTACTTTTTAGCATGTTTAATTTACAAATGTGTTTATAACATTGCCCCATCCAAAGATTGGTAAATGAAATTAAACTTGTTAGTGAAAGACATACTCACTTAACACGGGGATTAGAGACTCAAATTTTAATGTTGTTGTGTCACAACATACATTAATTAAAATGAATTCTTAGGTAGCTGGCACTAAAGTCTGGAACAAACTTCCAGCTGATATCAAAATCTTGCTCTCAATTAACTCATTGAAGTCTAGGTATAAAGCTACGTTTACATCAAGCCCGGACCCGTTCCGAAGCCCGGATAAAAAATCGTAAGTTGCTACGTTTTTTGAACGCTGCGTTCACATCGTTTGATGTGAACGGTCCTATTCTTTACCACTGAACCCATTTTTTTACAATTAAGTAGCTTAAGTCTTATGTATTTTCCTGATGTATCGTATACTCTATTATTTTTCTCTGTGAGGACCACAGCAAAAAAGTTTATAATTGACTGAGAAATCCTGCATAAATATGTTATTTATTATTATTATTATTATTATTATTATTATTATTATTATTATTATTATTATTTTTATTATTATTATTATCATTATTATTTTATTTTTCAAAACAAGGATCATTATTATTTTATTTTTCAAAACAAGGATCATTATTATTTTATATTTCAAAACAAGGCTCATTAAGGTGGGGCTGATGTGATATTTACCCCCTATCCTAATTCCCTACCATAAAAGAGAATGGGTGAGACTGACGTTAACAAAATTGGAAGTACACAACCGCTGGTTTCAAAATATTGGAACTGGCCACCAGCTGAAAAAGACTGAATACCCGGGAGACAGGTGTTCTGTATAATGTATTTACCTCATAATTAGCTCCCAAAACGCATGAACAAGTGCAGAAGATGTTATTTATACCGTCGTTAGCAACAGCGCCCTCAATGCCTACCAGCATAGTATAGTATACTTCAGTCATCACATGCATGCAATCTTGTAAGAAAATTGAAATATATTTAGCTCAAATTGTTATTAACATGTGATATTCCATAATTCTGTACGGTTTATTAGACTGTTATTTTACTGTACTGTATTTTTACTAGAGTATTCTAACAAGTGTTAATATTCAATTATTAATTTAGCTTTTGATATATTCTCTATTATTAGATTGTTTATTTTTGTTATAGCAAGTCGAATAGCTCCTTTGAAATGTTTGAAAATATTCTAAATCCAAACCAGTTCTATATTTATAGTACATCAAGCAGAATAAAATGATCCTAAATAATAGTGTCAATAAAAATAATGAATAATATGATAATCCATCCAAAACCTTTACCTAGCAGACTTGCAAGTACTTGATTGACCAGAAATGTACCTTTACATCGACTTCCGTTGAAATTATATCCAAGTGGAAATATTTTTGAAAGCTGAAATAAGTCTATGTTAACCTTTTTGGCACAGTAATTTGATAGAAGTTGGTGGGTCTGGGATTGGTCTGTGCTGTTAATACAATACCTATGCTGTGGAATGAACTAGGTTAATGCTGCAAAAAAGATCTAGTTAATGCTGTAAAAAAAACAATTGTTAATGCTGTGAAAAGAAGTGTTAGAATGAAAAATGTGTTTTGAGCCATTATGTTGAATTGTAACTCTTCGTAACTTTGACTTTTTACACCCATACGATAGAAACAATTCAGTACGCGAGAATTAACACACTACTGGTTACCTCTAATATCCTTACACACGTACGCATTTTCAGATGCGCACAGCTGTATTTTCCAAGAGAAAACGTGATCTACTTGGTTGTATACAACACATCGACCAACTTCACCAGTATCGATGATTTCACCGTAGTTAGCATCTGTGCCATCGCTCCATTGTACTCCATCAGCTGAAGAACAAAGTGGTAATTAGTAATTACGATTTTTGTGGTGGTTCAATTTACTAGTCATTTGTTATATAGCATAGGTAAGACAAGACAGTATGGTTAGATTTTATTTTCATATAAAATCAATACATTAGTAGTATATTATAATTAAAAAGGTTCCCTAGAGTGTCAGAAGCGCCATGAGCACAAACATGTTTGACATCTTATCC